GACCTTGATTCTGCTCTACAGCAGATACTGAGGGGATGTGTTCCTGCTCTGCGATGTCTTCTGCCAACACCATGAATGACAAGAGAGTCATTACTACATGTGGCGACAGGTTCCAGAGGCAACAGGGAGCATGAAGTCATAGATTTATTTATGGGACTGGAGAGTGTGAGACACTGGAAGTGACATAGATAGATAGATAGATAGATAGATAGATAGATAGATAGATAGATAGATAGATAGATAGATAGATAGATAGATAGATAGATAGATAGATAGATAGATAGATAGATAGATAGATAGATAGATAGATAGATAGATAGGACAGTGATTTTGAAGTGGACTTGATATCACCATACGTTACAGAGGCAGACAAAGGAAACCCGAGAGATTCCTGAGAGCGATGTCGCCGCTACAGTGTGCTTGGATGGTTTTGTACCCCGTTTATAGGGTGGCTCCCTCTTCTTATCTCTGCGCATTTGCAGGTGCTCTGTCAGAGGCAGACCTCACTATCTGCTAATCTGCCACAGTGGGGACTCGAGAGCCGGAGCAGAGCAGAGTCAAGGTAGCGGCAGCACCAGCAGCAGAACACAAGAAAGCAGTTCCTCTCTCGCAAATAACCAAACGATCGATGCGAGATAACAACAGATCTGACTAGTTTGGAGCCGCTTATCTAAAAAATATTGTTGGTGTTGTGCTGATTTGTAGTATTGATTTTTTTTTTTCTCTCTAAAGGATGTCATAAGATATCAGAATGTACTGATGCTCCCCTACAATGTTGGGTTCTTACAGTGGCAATTGCCTCTTGATAGTTTGTTACTGGAGGACAGCAGTCTGCTTTGAGAAGCTGAAAGGACAGAGAATGTGTCAGTCTTGTATGAAGAAATGGGTTTTTTTTTATGGTTTCTCGTGTGAACTGTGGACATATTTCAAAGATAGCTGTGGCATAACGGCTTCCAACTACATATAAAATATCAGAGAAAGTCATAAAATGTCCAGGGTAAGCACCTACACTAATTAAAGAATGTCACACTGATGTTAAATTGCAGGCTCTCTACAAGAGGCTCTGGGAGAGATGGAATCAGCGTGAGTCCTTTTATAAACCATATGGAATGTGAACATTTTGCTCAGTCAAAACAAAAAAAGGACTGAATGTGCTCTTCAACCTCCCCCCCTCCCTCCTTCTCAGGCCCCCTACCTTCACTTGATTGTACCACAGCAAATTGCACAGGAAAGCACCTGGGCAGAGGCGCGTATACAGCTTTTATTAATCTTTCTTTTTTCTCAATTCTTTGACTCCGACAGCTTTTAACTGAATTGTCTGCTCAGGCCCGGGTAGCCCCGTGGAGTCCAGACACAGCCTGGTGAACGCTGTGACATCTCCACTCCCCTCAGCTCTAGTGCTGCTGCCTTCATCCAATTTACCATGAAAGGAATCCAGACAGTCCCATAATATGACCCACGGCTGCCTCGATTGAACACGGTCGACAACTCTGGGCCCGGGCTTTACACACATAACCAGCCGGCTATCTACAGAGGACCATTGGCTGCCTGCTACCCCTTGATAAGGCCCATTGCCCAGGGAAAGAGTGGACAGGTCCATCTGGCGTCATTTCATAGCGAAGAGTGCCCCCTGGTGCCTCAGAGGGCACAGCACACTTCCAGGGCCAAGTGAGTAGTAAACACATCGGCTGTAACTGCATTCAGGGGGTGGTTTTACTGTCGGACACAGATTACAGCAGTGTTTCCTCCGTAATTTCATGCAGCAGCAGTGCTTGGGGTCTTTTTTTGTTGTTGCGGTTCCACATCCATTCTCGTGTCAGTCACAGTTATCTTTCTAATGCAGGCAACTGCAGTGAGAATTTTGTGTTTTTTTTTTCTTCAGACACTTTATCACAATGAAAACATGATTTGTCAGCGTTCGGGCTGTACCTCTGTTTGTTTTGAGGGGAAATTAGAAAACATATATATTTATATACATACAGAGGTATTTTAATGTCACTTTTTTACTTTCGGTCGTCACTTTCTTGCCACACTTCATGAATAATGATAAATAAACGCTGTGCAGTCAATCATTATCAAGTTTCTAGCACAAGTAAATCAAATAAGTTTGGACAAAGCCTGCAGCTGCACTGATTTAGATGTGAGCACTCAGAAGTCCAGACTGTAAACTGCCTAATAACAGCTGGGAAGCAGCAACATTTCTGTAACTTGGGGTTTCTGTAACACGAGAGATAACGTGAATTAGCAAAACATAGGAGCTAATGAAACCACTAAATTTATTTAGTCCCATGTGTTCAATGCTGCCTCAGTTGTTTTCTAAACCCTCTAACGCTTCGATTACACTCTCATGTGGATGTACACACAGACTACTGCATGTACATGTAGCTGTTGGCTGAGATTATATGCTTTTCTAGTGTGCAGGAGTCCGTTGGGATGAGTCAGTTCCATATGTGCGCAGAAGTCATGTACATGTTCTATACACACTACTGACTAGAATGCACACGACTGTCCTTGTAACATAGTTTGTGTGGACACAGATTTTGGGCAGTATGTGGATGCCATGGATGAGAACTCTTGTGGACTTGGGGAAATGACAAAATTTACCCTCACATCTTTGTGGAAGGGGGGCTGCAAGGTGGATCGGTGGTTAGCATCGTTGCCTCGCAGCAAGAATGTCACCGGTTTGCGTCCCGGTGAGGACACCCGGGATCTTTCTGCGTGGAGTTTGCATGTTCTCCCCGTGCAGCGTGGGTTCTCTCCGGATTCTCCGGCTTCCTCCCACACAGTCCAAAAACATGTTGAGGTTAATTGGTGATTCTAAATTGTCCATAGGTGTGAATGTGAGTGTGCTTGGTTGTCTGTCTCTAAGTGTAGCCCTGTGATAGACTGGTGACCTGTCCAGGGTGTCCCCTGCCTTCACCCTGAGTCAGCTGGGATAGACTCCAGCCCCCCTACGACCCTATTGAGGATTAAGCGGTGTATAGATAGTGGATGGATGGAATCTTTGTGGAAAGGAGAGCACTGGCCAAGGATAAACAAAGTAAAATACTACGGACAACATCCCCGTCTCTGTAGCTCTGTCTGTATTTTTCACAAGAACCAATTAATTATCCATCCATCCATTGTCTATACACCGCTTAATCTTCACCAGAGTCACGGGGGGGCTGGAGTCTATCATAGCTGACTCAGAGTGAAGGCAGGGGACAGGTGAGAACCCACACTGCACGGCGAGAACATGCAAACTCCACGCAGAAAGATCCTGGGTGTCCTAATCGGGACACAAACCGGGGATCTTCTTGCTGCGAGGTGACTGTGCTAACCACTGAGCCACCTTGCAGCCCCCAATTAATTATATTTAAGTTAATTGTATCTATCTAGCACCAACATAAGTCATCTTAGGACACTTTATAGATAATATATAACATTAGAGAGAGAAACCCAACAATTCCCTTTGAGCTAGGGAGTGATAAAACGTCCTTTAAACAGGAAGAAACTTATGGCAGAACCAGGCTCAGGGATGGTGGCCATCTGCCTTGACCAGTCAGGGTGATATAGCACCGGGCAACAGACTGAGAACAGGCAGGTTGGTGAGGCTCTGGACCAGAGATCTGCAAGGAGGACAGAAATCAAACCACAGGAGAAAGAACACACAAAGTTCATAACATGCAGTGGTGGTGTATTAAGATGTGGAGAGGGAAAGGCAGGAGAGATGTGCATCACGGCCTGTCGAAGCCCACAGCAGCAGATCTAAAGGATAGCTGAGCACCGGAGCCAGCTCTAACTTTCAGCTTTATCAAAAGTTTTAGGCCTAATTTCTAAAGCAGAGAGGGTTTCTGCCTTCCAAACCCAAACTGGGAGCTTAAAATAATAGCCATTTGGCAAAAGTACAGTGCATGTCCCTGTTTCTTTCTCTGTATGCAAGACTGAGAATAGACACAGAACTGGAGCAGTGAAACAGGTATTTTTACCTTTATTTACTAGGCTGAAAGTTTGTGATTCTGTGTGTGTGTGTGCAGGCAGCTCCTCGTTTTTCTTGGTGGGGATGTGTATCAGGGGTTTTTTTTTTGGAGAGTGTGACAAATTGGGGCCCTCGGCTCTGTGATAGTGGAAAGCAGGACCATCTAGCTTGCATTATTCATGAGGACTGGAAATGTCGAGGTGTGATGTGGTGTTTACTAGCGTAACAAAGCTACAGTCAGAATGTCAAACTGTACGAGCTCAGGGCATCTCCCCATCTGAACCCGCACTCTGATAAACAACAAGCTCAGGCGTTCTGACAGCGGCCGACGTGATAACGTTAACAGAGTTGTTTATCTTGCAGATAGAGTGGGTTGGTAATGAGCCTTTTCTTTTTTCTCATTAAAACAAGGTCTGTAGTGATGATTTCTTTGATCTATGATCAATCACAGCGAACGTTGTAACTAACAGATTGTCTGGTCCAGAGCTTAATTATTAAAGGAACAGTGCCCTCTGGTGGTAAACATAGATAATACCTTTCAAACACACTGCAGGTCTCTTAAAAAACGCATGTAAAGATCTTAAAATACTAAATCTTTTTCTTCTTTTAAAAAACATAGTTGTATGTCAAGCTGCCTGTTGTGATAATGCTGCTGCAGGTGACTGTGATTTTGAACTACAGTAACTCATCGTCTGAATCTTCCTAGAATCAATAAAAATAGAAGTCAGTCTCCACATTAATGCTGAAAAAGAAGACATGAACTAAATGCATTGCTTGCAGAAGAAATAAACAAAAGCAGCAGGTATTTCCAAAACAGTGGCCAGAGGTAATAAGTTTGGCATCGTGTTATTGTTCTTATTATGGAGACGTGGGTTGGAATTGTTGGATTTTATTATTAGAAAATGAAACGGCTAATGAAAGAAGCGAGTGAGAAATGAAATAAATTAGAATAGTAAAAAAAAAAAAGAGAGAGCTGAGACTTGCGCCATTCACTCGGCTCAAGATAACAAGACAATAACAAACAAGTAAATAAAAGCAAGGGGAGACTTCAATATCTCTTTTTTATTAATTCTGACACACTGCGGTCAGATAGAAAAGTATGAGCGTTACACTTTTCAAGTTGCTTCCATGACTTGTGCAAACACTAGACGGCATCAGGGGAAAAACCTCGGAAAGAAAAATGACCTTGGAAACAAAAAAAAAAAAGAACATCAAAATGCAGAAGAAATGAATAAGTGCATTTAAACCTAGGTGTTGATTCTTTATGCAGTATTTATTGATTCCCAGCTTCATATAAACTGGATGTTGAGGCATAAACATAGTACATTTGAACAAAAATATAACCAATATTTACAATTATTGTATTAAAAATACAAAAACAACTGATACATACTCCACCAATTGTCTTTTTAAAAGACATACAGGTCAAAGTAGTACAAGAAAGAATGAAGAAAAGAAGGTCATCACCAGCTAAATGTACATTTCTCACTGACATCACACATCAAACGGAGTAGCAGTTCTACCTACTACACTTATCTTTACGCTTGTACATTTTTGTGCAACTTTTTGTTTTTCGAAATAGGACTCGGCCCGCTAATATGCACATTATCTTCAGAGTTGAATGAAAGTGAATGATGCATGTCACCACTGTATTACAAACAAATTATTAACAATCTATCTGCAGCCATTACAAAAAATTACAATAACAAAAGAAACCTTTGAAATTATTAGTGTGTAGTCACAGAACACAGTGGAAAACACTGCACTCATTCATCTTTTTCCTCAGTCTGTAGTTTCCAAGACTGATCAATGTGATCAGTGCGCCTCAGTGATAGAAGAAAACAAACCAAAAAAAGTTACTTGTTTTTTTTTTTTTTGACAATTGGATTTATAATCGTTCTGATTGGCAGCCTTGAAAAAAAAAAAAAAAAACTTCATGTCAACTTCCCCACCGGAGTCTAAGAAAAAAATATCTTCAGTCACTTCCACTGATGGCGGGATATGGTGGATGCAGCCGTTAGCGATATAAATACAGCATCCACTGAGCTGATGTCTGTAACAGGCGAGGAGAGTTTCTGAGAATGAATCTAGTAGCACGACAGCAGAGGGAGGTCGCCCTGCGTGTAGACAAAAAGATCTACTGCACTGCAATATATGAGAATGGCCGCAGTCCAAGTCTGGTGATACCGTCTGAAGCCACACACAAACCCAAAGAAAACGCTTGACTTCATCTTGTACCGAGTCTTAACAAAAAGTCAGGGGAAGTATCTTGAATAAGGCATTTCACTCCACTATTGCTTGATTCAAGACTTGCTCTTGAAACAAGGGGATTCTCATTGGGAACAACGATGTAAAGAAATGTATGCAATCATGGCATCATAAGGCGCTTTGGACATTCACGAGATGTGGCGTATGTTCGGGTTGGAGGGGGGAAAAAAAGCCAAATTGGAATTAGTGGATACTTTCATTTTCAAGGGGAGTATGTGTATTATAAGACTCTGTACAAGATCGTTTAGGTAGACTGATAGAGGTACACTCGAAATGAACACGTTGGCAGCTTCTGAGATCTGCTGATGTTTCCCACCCCTGCTGGTCTGTGATTCCTTCAGGAGCGAGAGGGGACTTTACTCATGTCAGTGAGAGCTCGCTCGCTGCCCACAGTTTGTACTATGATTCATCGATTTACAGCTTTATTTAGCTCGATGCACAACATGATGGGAGTCTCACATGATTCTCGGCGGGTGGTCGATCACCTCTGTGCTTTTTGATATCACCTGCAGGTCAGCATCAAAACGGTACGATCTCAGTGTAACAGAAAGCAACAAGATGATGAAAAGACTGAGATCTCTGACACGCTCTGAGGTGGGGCGACGGTAAAGATATGGTTCACTCATACCCTGGTATCCAGGCCAAATGTCTGGTAACATCTAGGATTGTGCTGAAAGTGCTAGTTTTAGAATTCAACTGTGTTTTTGTTTATGCACTGGTACATAAAATGTATTTTTTGTGTGTGTGTGTGTGTGTGTGTGTGTGTGTAGGCATGTCAGTACACTGTGCATGTTGGTTCTCTCGACCGAGCCCTCCTCCTAGCTTCTTTTGATTCAAACCAACAAGTGATAAGCTTTCACATGTGAACTTGAGATAATACTGGATTCAGAGCTCAAACACTCGACAACAGATGAGTTGTTTCAGTCCAGGGAGAGAAATGATGGGCTGACTTGGTTTCTCTTTTCGGCCCCCAAGAGTGCAATCAGTCAAAAAGAAAACAAAACGAGGAAAGAAACCTAGTGGGAAGTTGAAAATCAAGAGTCAAGTCAACTAGCGTTTCTCTCCGTCTTCAACAATAGTCTGTTTTGTTGTTGTTTGTTTGTTTTTTTTTCATTTTATTTGTTCTTGTTTTCTTAGAAAGTAGAAAATGAGAAAGTGCAGATGAAGCTCAACACGTCATGATGCTGTTGTGTTAACAGGTGGGGTTTTGTCACCGGAGTCGGGGAGGAGGAGGAGGAGGAGGAGGGGGGGCAGTCTCAAGGAGCCGGTCCCGTTTCTAACAGCGACATCTATGTGGTTTTGTGTGGATGCGGCCGGGTCGACCCTCCCGGCGCCAGTTAGGTTCCTGTAGTCCTTTTTTTTTTTTTTTTTTTTTTTTGTCTTTCTCCAAAGTGCCAGGCATTTTGTCATTGTCTTTGACCTTCTCTCCGTCTCTTCTTCACAGTATTTTTTGCATGCAGGGTCATTCAACCCCTCATGATGCTTTAAGGCAGGGGAGGGAGATGAGCAGAGGAATCCACTGATTGGGAGGGAGAGCCAAGTGGAGGAGGCAGGCACGTACGTAACGGATGATGAGTCTATTGGTCTGTCTCTTTAATCCTGCCCACCCCGAACCAGGGGGACTTCAAGTTACTGCAAAAAGACGTCCACTGTTGTCCCTCAGACCGCTGACACCTGTTCATCTTCTGTGGAGAGAAAGGGGGACAGAGACAGTCAGAGGTCACAGTGAATGTGGGAGTTTTATTCTGAACTGCTGATAAGGCTCTGGACTTAATGCGAGCAGCTGCAGCGATGTGTGATCAGAAAGAAAACTTCTTTTAGGTCGTAAAGACACGCATCTTTTTATATTCGAAGTCGTAAAACTTTGAATTACTTTAATGCGGGCTATTTTGTTGAGGCATACCATCACTTTTCTATCTGATTTCCTGCCTTCCAATCAACTTAGCTGAGAGCAATTTAAGCCTTGACAGTGACAAATGACACGTTGTCATCTTCAGTCTTCTTCAAGGAAGGTTACTGATGCATGCCAATCCTTGGTGAGCAGAGGCTGATTTAAACTCTGTTCGATATGCCAGCACTCGGTGACCAGTGGAGGCGTGCTGGAGCGTCTTATGCAGCATCATCTGCAGTGTAGTTTTGAGGTTATCTGCTGACATTTTGATGCGACGCGAACACAGTGCAGCTCATTCAGGTAACAGATGTATTCTGTTTAATGACTGTCCTCCTCCATGTCACACTCTACCCATGTCTGGTGTGTTAACTTTTAGTTTCTCTTGTTTCCTTGTCTCCTTCTTCCTCCATCCCCTCCCCTCTTATCTCTTTCACCTACTCAGTTCCAAATACGAAAAAAATTGTTTTCTAGACAAAGAAAGTAACTCACTAAAAAATCCCCCACACACCTATCATTTATGTATTTATTCATTTTAAACGTTCTCGTACAAGGACCTGCCTCAAATCATATCAGTCATTAAATGACACAGTTGTTGGATACAGACCAGAACACCATTATATACCACCGAACCACACAGCCGTAGATATACATACTACAAATCTGCAAGTTGAATACCTCATTGAGTTCTAAAAACTGATTCATTTCCAGATTTTGTGTACATCTTGTAGTATGTATATAAAGCGCTGGCGGGCGGTCAAGACTACTGAAGGTGTCTGAAGGGAATCTCTAGCATGTGGGACGAACCTCCAACACAGCTGTGGTCTATCACGAAACTATGAGCGGTATTGTGGGCTGTATTTAAACAGCGCTGTGTCACGTCATGATTGATACATCTTGAGAAACGTCCTTGGGACCGAAATTTGTTGATAAATCAATGCAGATGGCGGCAATTGACTTTCCATCAATAAATTGGATGTCTGGGGATTCCCTGCACCACAAAGGAGACGGAGCATGTGGTGGGTGTGTTGCCTTCTGCTCATGACTGAGTAACAACTAAAATGCATCACTGATATTAACTTTATACCAAATATATCAGTAAATACAGGAATTTAAAGACAATTTGAGATTCAGAGACGCTACAGTTTTTATGCAAGAAATAGCTAAACTAATATTTGTATCCAGTTCAAGTTTGTGTTTCTTTTTCACTGAGATTATTTACTGACTTCCATCAAGTTTGAAGTCATTTGTTTTAGCGTGACATGAATAAAGAACAATGGCAGCCTGGTAGGTGGAATAATGTTCTCAAGGCTTTTTAAAAATAGTTTTACTGAGCTGTGTGCACTTTTTTTACTTTGTAACATCTGTCACAGGGCAGCAGAAACATTTAAGCCAGCTCTTGTACTGTGGTGTTAATAATGTGCAAACAAACAGCTAAACAGGAACATATTTTGAAACATGAATTTACAAGCTCACATATCAGCCTCACCTTATTCTATTCATGTACTGCATAATATTTTACACATGGATCCACATTTCAGGCTTTCTGTTCAGTGCTAAACGACTACAATGATACAAAATTCATCCAGAGTGAGTGCAGGCGAGTCAGGTGCGTGCTGTGCAGGAGGATGGAGGTGCATGTTTTCAGGCATTGAGTTGGATTGCATGGGTGAGAGGATCCTAACGACACCGTGTCTGCTGATGGATGCTGTTTGACACAGTGTGTGAGAAAGTGAGAGAGAAGAGCAGAATGTGTGGTGGCAGAGAAGTAGTGAGTTTCTAATCCGACTGGTATGACTCATGCATGATGACATATTGTGGGTTAAAGGTGAGGGTCCCACTCCAAATAAACAATTCCCAGATCGTACAGAATTTCGGCTGACATTTGTCATTTGGAGTGGGACCGATCCAACTAGTGCTGTGTGTTCCCGTTCACATGCAGGTTCACTGGAGTGGAGGGGGGGTGGGGGGGCAACCTGATAAATTAGTTTTTACCTGCCTTGGGGAGAGGGGCCCTGCCTGTTTACCCCCGTACACACACTCTCATGGTCTGGGAGTCTCAGGTGTATGCTGAGCCACTGGCTTCCTCAGAGCGACTAGTTTGGAAGACAAGGACTCACCCTCCTCTTCCTCCTCAGGCTCTTGCTCCTCGGCTGGTGAGCGAGTGCGGTGGAGGCCGCCCGCCCGCTGTTTGGCCCCCTGGTGGGCCTGATGGGAGTCGGGCGACTGGGTGACCATGCGTGAGCGCTGCAGGGCCGTGGTGTAGTCTGGTGGCCGGCGGCCCGAGTGGGTCGCTGTGGACGTGGGAACAGACGGCGCTGGGTGCTGTCCTTCAGCAAGGTCAGAGATGGTCAGGGCAGTGTAGCCGGGGGGAGTCGGGGGAGGCTCACGGTAACGGCTCTCTTTCCGAGCTGAAGGGACACAAAAGACAGGAACATGATAAAGGCACTTATCGACTGCTGGAGATAAAGCTCTTGGAGAATTTTTGATGTTGATAGTGGAGAGATGACAGAGAATGACCATAGAGAGCAGACATGACAGACAACAAAGGTTTCCAGCTTAACCTCCATATATAATGTTGTCATTACACGGTCCTCTTCTTAAACCCATACTGCTTTATAATGCATAAAACTACTTGAAGATATAATATTTTATCTCAAGCATGAATTTCAGCAGTTTTAAAAGAATTGAGATTTTTGTAAATATGCTTATTTGCTTTCTTGCCAACAGTTACATGAGAAGAGCAATGCCACCCTCATATCTGCCCAAACGTTGTAGTCAGCACAGTGTAAAAACTGGCACTTAGCATGACGACTGCTCTGATGCTTACTAATGAACACATATGTTCTTTTAGTCAGCACAATCCGTGTAAAAACCTGTCATTCTTATCCTTCAGTTTTACACTTGTTTTTTTTTTCCTGCTGGTCTTCAGTCTGTTTTTCTAAACAGGTATAATAATAATAATACATAAATATTCTATAAAAACGTGACCAAACAGTAAATAAATGAACAGGACTGTGAACAGCGTTCACTCACAAATGAGGCCTTTACCCCCAGCAGTGATGGGTGATGGAGACGGTCGGCCGAGCTGCTTTGCCTCCTCTGATCCGGTGGATGTGATGCTACTTGTTTCTGGGTCGGCGTTGACGTCCTTTCCTCCTCTCCTCTTGATGGTGCCGGTGTCTCCCTCGGAGTCCTCCCCCCAGTACGCTGCTGAGGATGAGGAGGAGCTGGCAGATGCCCAGCTCCCCCTGGCCTGTGCTGCCCACAGCGCTGCAGGACCCCCTAATAAGGCCTCCGGTCCGCCCGGAGGGAGCCCTCCAATCCCGCCTCCACCGCCACCTCCACCAAAGGCCAGAGTCTCCCAGCTCCGCCCCTGCTGCATGGTCTGGATGTTGTCATGAGAGCCAGAGGAGCAGGAAGTCCAGGAGCCGCGGCCGCTGTCTGCAGCATCGAGGGAAACGCGATCGCCCTGATCCTGAGTCAGTTCCTCTGAACTGGGTGAGGAGAGTACTGTAGGGCAGCCAGCGTAAATACCCCGACAGTCCTGCATTGACGAATATGACCTATGATGTGATAATAAAGGGAAAAAGAAAACAAGAAAGTGACTTCACCTCTTTTCAGACTAAACAAAGATTTTCTAACTGAGCTCCATGTGTTCCTACCCCAGGCTGTACTGGTCGGGGTCGGTGGTGGCTCTTCGTTCCAGCCGTGGTCCTCCAATGTGAGATTCTCCGACTCCTCCAGAGTGACGGAGTCTCCTCTCCTCCTGGGCCATGTCGAAAGAGGAGTTACTGACAAGACTGGATCGAGAGGAGATCTCACTGTGACCAGAATCTGAGTAGGCGTCTCCCATCCTGTTGTAACCTGATGGAGACAGGAAAAGGTGGAACATTATTGTTGGGACTGCGAGTGGAGTGAAAGAATGTTTAACTTAGCATGTAGCCTCAGTCCTAGTTGTGGAAAGTGAACTTGAATGACTAGATTACAAATCAGTCAAATTGTGTTAGATCTCTGGGGTGGGGTGCATTGGATTCTGACTGAAACAGCAGTTTATGAAGACATTCTGGGTTTCAACACAATGCTGAAGAGTGTGGAAAAGTTTTGATAGCATAAGGGAATTGGGAGTTGCACAATAAAGTCTGTGACACTACAGATAAATCACTGGTGCTGATTGATAGTGTAAGGACATATTTTCTAGTTATAGGCAACAGTCATTAAGGCTTTTACCACTGCTGAGCTATAGTTTTCATGGTGCAGTGCTCATATTTTGCACCTATCAGCATAAATAAACCCAATAACCTCCTCTGAATATTGAAATTAAACTTTAAGGGAAGCCTTTACGACAGATATGTGGAGAAAGCAGAAGTCAGAGGAGGTGGGTTTGAGTGCCAACTGCTGTAAATGTCAGAAATAGAGTCTACTGGGTGATATAACAGTAAAAAGGATGAAGCATCAACCCGCAGGGCCCTTTAGGTGTGCAGCTTCCAGACAGAAACAGTTTCAGAATTTTTGCTCAACATTCAGAACTGAAAAAAAAAAAAAAAAACACTGACAGACAATTTATAACCTCCTCAGTCCCGAAGTCTTTAAAAAGTCCTGTGAGCTACAGGCAGCCTATCCCATCCAACAGCATCTACAGTCAAAGCCAGACGTATAAATTCATGTGTAAAGCAGCTGACTCCGGACCAGCTAGTACCAGTTCTGTACTAGTGGAACACAAGGCCCGGATCTGTGGCCTGTAAGCAACACCAACACTTCACACTAGAGGCAGGTGGTCTCCTCTGTAACTCATGGTAGTAAAATCTAAGAATCATGAAGCTTCTTTTAGAGAAATCTTTACTTCAGCCTATTGCTTATTGAGTAAACATTTTTAGTTTGGAACGTTTTCTTTCACTCTTTAATCTGTTAACATTTCCTTGGTAACAAAATTAACTAAAACCTACTTGGGTTTGGACTAAGTCTGAAACAATACAAGGTGTCTTAACACACACTTAAATGAAATGAAAGACATATTGCAGTGCATGTGGCTGCCACCAGGTGGCATTTGTGGCCCACAATGACAGCAAGAAGCAGCCTGGAGACTGGTGTCAAAGAGAGGAGAGGGAGGGAGGATTATTGGCTTACCCTTCTTGGGCGAGCTCTGGGGGGAGGTGGGAGGGGAGGAGAGCTGGGAGGAGGCGTTGGACACAGTGTCCTCTGGCTGCCTCCGGTGCCTTTCGCTCCCCTCTTCTGACAAAGACAGGATCTTCTTCAGGGACTGGGGGGAACTGGTGCCTGTGGACATTTGCAAGAAGATGAGCAGAATTAACATGAGGAACACTGCCATTCCCCCAGGGTGTTGGGATGCTAAACTGCATTGTCTGGGATTTTTTCTTTCTTTTTTTTTTTTTCTTGTTGCCAGACAGCCTGTAGGTGGCAGCACTGTCACAAAGAAACCAGCTCTGCTATTGTCTGCAAATAACAGGATGAGGGAGAAAAAAATAAGGCAGTGGTGGCAGAAAGACAAGAGAAGAGGGGATTTATACCAGCTCTTTTTCTCTTAAACCTTAATAATATCAATATATACATGCAGGGACAATTCTAAACCACCATTTTTAGGGTAAGGGCAGCTGTGAATCACCATAGCCTTAATCAGCTAAAAGAATGTTCATCTGCATTGTGCTTCATTAAATAGACTCAATACTAAAACCTCTCAGTGAGGAGAAAATTTGTTCCTTTTCTGAAATCTAACCTTTTAAATACCATGAACCTGAGAGTATTAAAATTATTAGGCTACCTACATTATACTTAATCTTAATCTTACCAAAAGGCGGTAGATCCTTGACTGGCACTTTCTTTCGGGATGGGTAGAGCGCCACGGCGGGGACCTGGAGGGCCTGGTTTCCTTTGGCCAACTGGCCCCTTTGTTGACTGGCAGCTCTGGGCACAACTGGAGAAGTGTCTGGTCGTTTGCCACCTGCATTCTTGGGCACTGAGTAGTGGGGGGAAAAAAGTGAGTAAATTTTCGATATAAAGCCGCATTTTAGTCTTTAATGAGAAATCTGAATCGACAAGGACTTGTGAGAAGGCAGGAACTGGCTGTGGAGTTCAAGAAAACAAGCATCAGGGCTGCTGTGAGTTTTGCTAGCCATACACAATCCCTTTGACCACCACTCCCCAGTGCATTAACAGCCAGTGAGGTTTGGCATTAACAATGGGAAACGGGCCCGACAGCTCAGTCATTTTTGTTCCCTGCCAATGAGTCTTTAAGCATCTGCCTCTGGGCTGTGAATCCTGGGAACGCGTCTCTGGAGAAATATGCTCATAATCAACATAAAGACCTCAGTGCCTAATCTTCTGAATGTTTCGCAAAAGGATGCTTCTGCAGTGGGACACATGAAATAATAGGTTCATCTTCTACATCAAATTCTCATTTCCTGTTAAAATAACCGACTACATCTTGTTGACGCATGTGGCTGGTAGGAACTCACATGTGCTGATGGAGGGTTCGCACTGCAGCGACAGCGTCTGCAGGCTCTCCTCGTTCGTCTCCAGGCTGAGGTTGGACAGGTACTGTTTGACCTTCCTGGCCATCTGGGCGTCCTCGTAAAGCTTTTTGGCGTTCAGGAAGGAGCTGCGTCGCACCCGCTTCTTGTGCCCACCTGTCTGGGTGACGTCAAGCACGGCCGCGTTGGCACTACCCTGACTTAGAGACCTGGGCGCACACGTAGGGGGAGATTTGCAAACAAAAACAAAGACACACACACAAATAGAAGAGGGCAGGGAAAGACTCATTAATGTCATGTTTCAATAAAACGTGTGTGTAAATGCGCCAATGTTAGAGTAAGAATGTGTATTTACTACTAAGGGGCTACATATGGAGCGTAGTAGTCAAAGTCAGACATGCAGAGAGCAGCTCTAGATATTTATCCCACTCCAAAACATTCCAGACATTCCAGACAGCAGAGGGGGGCTGAGGGATGGTGGCTGTAGTCAAACAACAGGGGAGTAGAAACAGGGACTAGTGTAGCACAGTCATAGTTTACATTTCTGTGGCTTGAGTCAGAGCTCGTAGTAGTCGTAGTAAACGCTGTTTTTTTTTTCTTTTCTCTCATGGTCTGAGCCAAACAGCACCCTGACAGTCGCCCCCAGTGTTGCTCAATGAGAAGTCACACTTGTTCTCGTCCGTGAAAAGAATTTTTTAATCACATTTCATAGAAACATTTTTCAAGTAATTACAGCTTCAATATCTTGTAATTACAAATAAGCAGCTCATATTTTAGAGATTGAGGTCTTATTTTATGGATCCTGTAATTACAAGATGCTACATCTTTTAATTGCAGGTGCGGAAGTGGAAACGTTTCCTTTTCTGTTGAGTAAATGTGACGTGCTTCTGTATGTTTTCCATTAAATGTTGGGTGTGCATAATGATACGCCATTCGACCACAAGAATGTAAAGCATGATACTTTATATCCAGAATCTCTGGCTGTTTGGAGGTTTGATATGCATTTGAAACCTCAAAGGCAGGTACAACTCTGAAACTCAAGCTGCATGCATTTTATTGTAACACAGCATGTCACAAAAGGTCACTTCTGCTAATGTAAGGCTGGATTCACTCGTTTATTCTCTATGTGCAGACACAAATTCTCTAATTCACATTGGAAGCACAGCAGTGATGTTTTCCTGTTCAGTACATTTTAGCCTAGAGTTAGCACAGGTGACCTTTGTTTTATTGATTACCCTTAGGTTAGTGTCAGGCAGTGTTAGAGGGAGGATTCAACTCAAACCGGTTAATGGAAACAAGGTTTCGGAAAAGAAGAAAAGGAAGCACACAAATTGGCAGAAAGAGGGGCCATGGTGCAGGGAGGGCAAAGGTTGTAGGGTCACCAAACTTACCCTAAACTTCTCCATTTCTTCTTCCTAGAGGGTAGGTGCCAAGAACAGAGAAGCACGTGGGGGGCGAAGGGTTGATGAGTCAAGAGAGAAAGAGAGGAGACAAAACTTAGGACAGGAAAGAACACCGAGATCACCAAAGAGAAGCAATTTCACCAAAGACCCACGTGAAAGTCAGCAGAAAGGAAATCAAATACTCCACTAAGAAGAGACATCATTAGACAAAGACACACTTTCACAGAAGCACTGAGCACATCTTATGCCAACAATGTGTATAGGCAAACAGTTGCTGGAGCAAACAGTTGCCAAAGGGAGCAGCTGCTTGAAACAAAAAGCGTGATGCAGAAATGTTACTGAATCTATGTGAACCTGCTAACCCCACAGAGCTGGTTAGTCAGTGGAGCGCTGACTGGTCCTACAGGGAGGGTGAAGGATCGTTATTAATGTGAAGCGTGGCTTTGTTCCTAACGTATCCTGACCTGGTTCGGAACATAAGCGCTGGGTCCATGTTGACGGACGCCATGCGGCCAACATGGCGAATTTCTTTGGCAATCATCCTCAGCTTCTCAAAGTTCACCAGGCCGTCCACTTTGGAGTCATTGCCTGAAAAATACACAAGAAATAATGGTGATCCGAAGCTCAACAATTATGTACTGCTTTTTTTTTTTTTTTTTTAAATGTTTTTCCCAATATTTTAAAAAAAAAAAAAAAAAAAAGGCATGTAATATGTAATTTCCAAGAAAACAACAACCTGGCAGCTACAAAACTATGTTACAACTAAAGCAAACGGGTGAAACAGCCACATCCTAACATTGGCTGAAACAACATTTTCTATTATTTTAACTGTTTGTTACTGTAAATGTATTTTGATGGTTTGACACGGTTGTATTTTGGAGTTCAGAATCTGCATTTTATATATATTATGTAGGGTCTACACCAGTGTTTACTCAATGAAATAATATAACCTAAGCATGCATAAAATAAAGGAATATGTGCTTATCTTTGTGTGAGCACTGTCGCCATACTGTACAGTGAATAACACTGCCTGTCTCCAACCACCAACAAACTCATTTCATTTGCTGAATACATCCATTAGGTTTAGTTGCGACTTGCTGTGAATGTCTTCATATACAAATGTCAAGTCGTCTACCTTCATGTAGGAAGGTGAGGTCCTTTTTGATGACAGGGAACAGGGGGATGATTGGTGGCTGGAGGTTCTGATTGTTGAGGACATTCCTGTACTTGGCCATATTTCTGGAGGGGTCGAAGAGGTCCTGCAGGTCCCCGAACAGCTTCTCGTACTTGCTGGGTAGCTTCTCCCATGTTCCCCTCAGTCTGGAGACTGGAGCCAGGTTGAGACCGCTGTACAGAGAACCACAGTTACCATGAGACTACATACCGCTGTGATTAATAACTTGCAGCACTTCAGGGACTTGGGTTGAAATATAAAACATACGACATTACAAAGTTCAAGTAAAAAAAACCTAAATCACAACAGAGGTCAAATATAAAGTGTAATTCTATACACATTTATGATTCCCTGTCTCACCTGATGATGGCGAACATGGAGTTGAAGTTCTTGCACTCCCGACAGTGCAGGGCGATCTTGATGAAGTGCTTGACGGTCTTCATGCGTTTGAGCTGGTTGGGCTCCCGCGTCACCTCCGTGGCCACCCAGAAGGTCTCATGGTTGATGGCCTCCTCGAAGCGCTTCAGGCTGGCAGAGCCGGTCTTGGAGCGCAGCTTGAACAGGTCATCGATGTATTCGGTGGGCTCGATGGCACAGAAAAGTTCAAACGCTCGCATGGAGAGCTGAGTGGCCACTTCCACCGTGCTGAGCTGTAACAAAGAGATCTGGCCTTCTCGAAGGAGGTCCTGGGCGTCCTCGTCTGAACATAACGTCTCCGTCTCCATGTTGCTCTTTAGGTAGTATCTAAGGACAGAGCAGGGTTTTTCATTTATTTTTTGAGTAAATGAACTATTTTGATGACAGACTGAACACTTGCTGGTTTCAGTTTCTCTATTCTGAGACTTTACTGCAACGTTTGACACGAGTTCAGATCAAATAGCATTGAATTTTTCAGTGCAGGCTTTAAAAATACTAAATTTTATGCCATCAACCTGGTTTCCTGTAGAAAATATGATTACTGTGTCAACTAAAGTTAATGATTTCAACCTAATTTATTATTATCTGCTCTGTATTTAACCAGAGTGGTTTCTTGAGGTTAAGATGTGGTATTTAAAGTGGCTATAATAGCAACAAAAATGATGTTAGAACATCAACAATATCCATGTAAGGAAAAAGAAAAACCAAATGAGACTAATTCCCTCGTTCCTTTATTCTTTTCTGTGATACAGCAGAATCGTCATTACCTGCCGCTCAGCTGAATCCTGTCAGCTAGTTTAGAAAGCTGATCAGGTAACCGCCTCTGCTTGATGACGCCCTCTGGAGTGACAGACACCTCACACAGCGAATACGCCTCTGGTGCAGCGGTCAGGGCAAACTCCCTGATGGCCTGGGCCACCACCTCCTTAGCCGTCGTGTCCTTCCCGATCATGATGTACCGGGACTGCTGGTCCGCCTTGAAGACTCGTAATACCTGGTCTGACATATCTGTGGAGGACAATTAGTGAGAATGAGGATAATTGCTTAAGAATCAGCTAGTCTGAATCTCATAATCAATCAACAAGAAAAGAAGAAGCAGGGATTTTTTTTAAATGTATTTTGAGGTTTAGTGACAGCCATTCAACATTTCCCAGCACCTCCTTCAAGTAAAAAAAAAGCACACCAGCATCTTTGTGATGTCACCCAAAAGCCTCATTTCCCATCTTTCATTAGTTTGATCAGAAACACATCCCAACAGATCTCATAAATCTCCGTGAAAACACCCATGTGCTTACAGAACATTTAAAGGTCAGCGGTCAGTGCAACGCTGTTAGTTTTACTCGATTAGCTTTCACAAGCGTGAATGCGGATTAATTGAGTTTATGTTACGTCTGCCCACTACAGCACAGCAGCTGATGAATGCCTGTAAGTCTGGCACAGAGGCTGACAGCATTGACAAAGAGATGGCTGTGCTAGGAGAAGCAGGATCACGAGGAGAGAAGATACTCACTCAGTGTGACTGGGACTGGAGGGACACAAACAATTTTAGACAGGAGTTAATGAAATATAGAGACCACCATGTTTCTATATCTATTTGTTTTTTATTGGATAGTACAGATATGAAAAGAAATATGTCAGCTGTCACAGATTGTGTCTGTTTAGGTAGCTATTCCCTTTATATCTCTGGAACTAGTGAAAACAGAGATATTTGGCCATTGCAGCCAATGTTACTGCTCAATTAAATGTTTTTATACAGCGCCAATTCACAACATAAGTCATCTCAGGGCACTTACACTGTAAGGTCAAGACCGTATCTTGTGGAGAGAACCAAAATGTCTTGGATTTACAAAATTGCATCATCACAAAGTACCTTGATCTCATTGTATTATCCCAAAACTAATGTCATATATCTTAAGAATACACTGGTGCCACAAACTTCTCAGTCTCACATCATGTCCACACAGATGTGAAACACCCACCAGGCTGGTTGTTGAAGTCGAGGATGCGGTGGTGAGACTGCAGAAGGTCTGGGTTCGACGACGAGAGATTTCCACTGACTGGCAGAGCTGGTGGGATCTGTTTCGACTGCTTCATCCCCACGATGCTGTCGTCTTGCGATTGGCCCACGCAAACGTCACTATGGAAACAAGAGGAAGAGGAGGGGGGTGAGGCAGCAGTTCTATAAACAACAGGCAGAGGGCGATGTTTGTGTTGGCAGGAGTTAAAAGCTGTCCAATTTGTACAATATAGTCCACATAAAATATACCACAGCACTGGCTGACTGGGGCTATCACAGGCTCATATTTGGGTTGGTCGACAGAAATACGACCCCCGCTCATTAGGATAACAAACTGAATGAAACGTCTAGAAAATACATTTTCTCCCCTCCTTATTTCTAGATTTTCCAGCAGAATATCAAAGTAGAGGTACGCTGCCCTGTCTCCACTAACATCATGTATGTGCAAAATATATAATAAAGCTTAATAAGTTCAGGGAGAATGAGCTGTGATGCTGCATCACACTGTAGAGGCTACGCATTTGATCAGTGAGGTGTGTAAAACATCAAGTGATAGCAGAATGAGATATATCAAGATCTCTCTCTGTTTCAGCTCAGAGATGATGTGCATTTGACATGAACCAATCAGAGCAGCGTATCATAATGTCATGGTAAAAAACAAAACAAAAAAAAAAAAAAAAAAAACACAAGAGGTCTTGCAAGTTGGGAAAAGCTGAGAAAATGACTCAGACAGAAGGAAAAAACATCCTTTCTGCTCACAGCACAGGAAAAATCTAACTTTTACTTCATTCGCTTTCTTTTGATATACAGATGTGCTAGTTCTGTGAATAAACAAGCTGTGTGCAGTGTACTGACACCATCTAACAAGATACCGGAATATTAAAATTCCAACTATTATCTCTTAATGTAACTCACAACTGTCAACACTGAAGGCTAACTCATGCAGCTTTAAATCATTAAGCCCTGACTGCTGCTGATGATTTGTTTTTTTGGTCATTGATAAAGCCGTGTCTTATTACTTGTAAGGTTTAGGGGGCAGGATGCTGGTGAGCGTCTTGTCGAAGATCTTCTTCAGCTTGTTGCGCCCTCCCACCGTGTTGGTCTTGGCTTTCTTGCTGACCTTCTCCAGGCCCATCACCTGCTCCACGTCCACCGCCAGGTCGGGGATAGAGTAGCGGCTGGCCTTCTTGATGTCCCCGATCTTCGGCAGGTGAGGTGCCCCGTTCTTCCTGTCGTGTTCCTCCTCACCATCCAAGTCGTGGTCGTGTTCTGGCCTTGTTAGCAGCTCTTTAAACACTGGACGGGAAAAAGAAAGCACAAGAATGAGCCACGTTATTAGCATAAATGAAAACACTGTCCAAGTACCGGTTCGCGAGGCCGACTGCAGCCAGAATCCTTACCTAAAAGGTTTGTCTTCACAGTTATGGACAAGTGAGTGTTGTTCTTCAGAATCTCGTTGGCTTTGCTGAGCTGGACATTCTCAAAGTTCTGCCCATTGACCTCCAAGATCTGCAAAATGAAAAAAAAGATAAATCAAACAGCTGTGCTTTACCCAACAGTCTGCATGATGTGTTGATATGTGACTAAAAGACTTTGCAAAAGCAACAGAATTGATGATAATTAATGGCTAAGACTGCTGGCTTCTAACCCACATACATAAGACCATGTTTTGACCTTGTCTTTCGTCTTATTGGTGCAAAAATACTGATGTGATTTTACTGCCAACTCATCTTCATAAGAAGTATATTATGTCTAAATAGGCAGCTGATGCATAATTATGCATGTAGATGAACCCTTTACAGCCTAAGCGGTTTCTGGAGATGTTTTGCTCCCGTCACATTTTCACTCACTGTGGACTTATTCTTCATTGCAGTATGAAGTCGTGCACAGCTCAGAATTTTTTTGTAACTTGGCTGTTGGTTTCAGTTGTGCCAAGGAACGTAGAATTTTTTGTTGTTTCACAGCATCTGGTGCCATCAGTTACTTGTTAGTGAATTACAGAATGAGGCATGCAGAGGAAAGTATGTTTCTTCTATTTCCTGAAGGAACCGCATGTCACACGTGATTGGTTCATGGACTGTGGGAAAGTTTATCATCCAGAGATTCTGTTGTTTTTCACTTTCTGGTTCTGATTGTCATTGTGGTGCTTTGTTTTTATTTTTCATTTTTCTTAAGGTAACATACATTTCAAAGCCGCAGGTGGAATCTTGGGTTCAATGGGTTAAGAATCTATACGCTGGTAAGCAAGTAAACCCCACCAGTAAACTGCACTATTGGAAGTAGCCAATGACTTCCTTCTCTGGTCATCCTGTCATGTCCAAGTGCAGGTCATGATATACTGCATGCGTGCAGATAAATGGTAAACCTTGAAACTGAGAAAAATGTTCGAGGTGCTAATCCACATGCTATATATTTTACCCAGTAAACAAAGAAGCAACAAACTCCCAATCTTGAGAATTTTACACATCATGACATTTAGTCCAACACGAGATTATGACATGAGCATGGACTATGTGAAATCTCAAACTGCCTTGTCTTTATCTCTACAGCTTGAAAGTTCCGGATGTGCCGGATATTTGCATTTAAACACAATCTGTCCACTAAGCTGTCATTTCCTTTTCAGTGGAAGAGGAAGTCACCTTTAGCCACAATGCACATACAGGCCATCCTCTGTTGTCATGAGGCCAGTAAACGCTGACATACAAGGCCAAATGTCTGGTTTGGGATCAGTAGTGGTGAGTGAAATGTTGCTAGGAGTTCATCTCTGACAAACTTCAGCTAATGACCTGATGACAAACTAAGTGAGCAGTTAAAAAAAAAGAAAAAAAAGAAAGGTGTGAAGGGTGTGGGAGAGTGAAAGCTTCCAAGGATGTCAGCTTCCCTGCTTCCTTTTGGGGAAACAGCTGCAGGGGATGTTTGGAGTCAAGAGGGCTTAACTCACATCCAGACACTCTCAAGATGGTTTCAAGGATTAAGGGACTTTACTTAAAGCCCCCGAGGACTGCAGAGTGTGAAAACGGTTGAGAAGTCAAGTTGTGAGGAGAAAGCCAACACAGGGTGCCCACAGCTACTGGCAAGTTCAATTTACGGCTTTTCAAAGGAACCCTTTTAATGCCAGTTAGAGAAAAATGTAAAACCAATTTCCCAACAAAAAAATTAACTTGAACAGGAAAAAAAAATACATCAATTGAACTGTTCATCTGTGTGACTGGAGTGATTTCTCTGCAGAGTGGCAGTCTACAGAAAATCAAGTGCTTTTTTTGAGACTGCTTGGAGGCTAAATGAATTCCAAAACGAAATTGCATTACTCGGATAAATCACATTCGAAATTTACAGCGGATGATGATAGAGAGAAAAATTGTTACGGAAGATTGAAGAAATATATTTGGGCAAGACACCAAACATCTACGCGCTGTTTCACCAACGTCTTTATCGGGACTGTAGCAAGATGACGGATGTCCGACTACAGCAAAGATGGTCAGGAGGACGGTCTTACCTGATCTCCACGTTTAAGGCCGACTTCTGCCGCCTTGCTCCCTGGATCCACGGCATCAATGAAGATACGGAAACCTTTCTCCTGACCTCCGAGAAGGCTGAATGCCAGTGGAGAGTCCCTGGACGGCTTGGTCAGTGTCACCAGCCGCGGCTTGGCTTTAGCAGCACATGCTATGTTTAACAGTCTGAGGTGCCCACACATTTTCTAGGGAGAGAAAAAAAAAAACAGATATGAGGAATCAAATACATGAATCTGACATTTTAGTTTGGATATCTAGAATCTCTGTTTAGACGTTACACTCACTTCTTTCTCCAGATTGTTTTCAAACTCTTCCAAAAAGTGAGTCATGGCGGGGTCGCCCTCGAAGTCATTGAAGTGATTGTTTACCCACAGCAAGACTACCCGTGTAACCTGGAGGAGTCACATGATCAACACGGGTCAACGTACTGCACAGTTTACTGCTTGAGTAACTGCAGCCAGGTGATACACATTGCATTTTATATCCTGACCACAAAACATCTAAAGGTTCATGGGAAATCTAGTTAATTAACATCCACTAAATCTTAAAGGTTTATGTTTTAAAACAGATATCATATATACAACTACCAGCTTATTTAATCTTTCAGCTGTGTCTAACTACAGCATGTAGTCTTCATTTTATTAAATCAGATGCTCTATCTGACTTACTTCCAAACTGTTTCTTCAGCAAAGTTTGTCTCAGGATTTTATGCACCTAAATCCACCTTGTCTGAATTCTGCAAACCAGGGAGGCTTCAGAAGGCCACACTAAGTCTGAGTGTAAGTTTATTTAGTTTGCCTGCTTTAAGGATAACATATACAAAAGTCTGGGTACCCGTACCTTGTCCCTGAGACTGGGGTCGTGGAACCACTCCAGCAGCTTCTTGCCCACGACCATGGGGCTGGAGAGGAAGGTCCTGTAGGTCAACAGGAAGTCCTCGATGTAGGTTGGGTCCACCACTGAGTGCTCCTCCACGAGGTGCATGGTGAGACGCTCCGGCGTGCCCTGACATTTGAGATGATAGCGTTATTGCTTCAGAAAATGACGAGCATGGAAATGTTAATCATCAACAAATAAGTTTCTATTTACTTGTTAAGTAAAAGATTTGTGACTTTCTACTTAATACTTAGGGTGTGATGAAATGTGGATCGAACTAATGTTGACTTCTCACCTTGATGACGATGTGTCCTTTCCTGGTGCCGGTGCGGTCCAGTTCACGGTGTTCCTTCACCATAACGATCTCTCCTTCTTCTTCAACCTTCTGCATGTTCTTCTCTACCTGGTTGAGGATGCAGCAGTAGTCCTGCTGGGCTATACACACAAACTGGAAAAACAGGGAGACATGCATTAGGGACAGATTTAATCCAGTCTAATGTTCTCTTCTCTCTGCTGGCATTCTCTCTCTTTTGTATTGTACATATTATTACTGGGCCTGACCTGTAATGCTTCAATTAAAATTGCTAATTAAAGGTAAAATTACATATTCAACAGAAACAAAGGGTCTGAACATGAATATTAAATTTGGTAAGTAAATGTGCAATGTTAATCTGGTCTCTTAATCGGAAAGCCTTTACGTTTAATGTCTGTTATTTCAAATGTTAAATTTAAACTGGGAAATATATATTTATCAAACATGATTACGGTTACATGTGTTTTTAACAAGGCATGACATCTCTGTTCCTGAAAAACTTTACTACAGATCAGTTAGTGAAGGCCAAACATGAAACTGACATTACAGATAACAGCAAACTAGAAAGAGATCCTGCATAGCAACTAAACTCCTATCTGCACTGATAAATTACAAAAAGGGGGCTTTCACTAATTAGCTGCAAAGATCTTCTCCTCCCAGCCACTAATGAGTTCTGCTGATGATGAGAAGACTAAAAACATTTCCGTGTCTTTTCTTTCACTGTTGAGCACTTTACCCCCCATTAAACCCATGATGCAAATACTGTGATCCTGCTCTTTGCATGAGCTGCCCTATTCTCTTTCAAAACTTCTCACATTTAACGGGACGCTATCGCCCAAAGCAACTTTTGGTGTCATGGTTGCACACACTTTCAGCACAAGTGGGTCACGGCGAGATTTAATAACGCAAGATGGCAGAGCCCGTGCCATGTTTTTCACACTGGAATGCAGATTAAATGGACCTAACGGTGTGTTACAAGTCGACCTAAACCCAGTGCAGGAACATTTAAAATGAGGAACCTACCTGGCAGTCGTCCACCTTGGTCTTCATGACACCTTTCATGTATTCCTTCTCCATGGTTGGTGACACCCCAAAACTGTTCCCCATGCACAGGATCTCCGTCCGGCTGTCAGGGTACGTCACCTCCACCGAACCGTTCAGGATCACCGACCACGAGTCCAGCTGGAGTGACAACACGTGATACAGTTAAATGTTTGAGAAGACGAGAGAAAACACAAACAAACAAGAAAGAAATTGGGACAAAAAAAAAAGAGAGAAAGAAAAACTAAATTCTACAACAGTAATAACTTTGTAGATCAGACTAAGTTCAGTCTAGTAATATTCCCAACAGCTGGTGTCCCTTAATGAGTCAAAGTTATTTATCAAAAACAACCATATGCAGTAACTACAAGGAGACTGCTGCACTAACAGATGGTTTCTGACTTTCCTCAGAGGGATACAGCAATAGCAAGACGCCGCTAGAGCTGCCCAGCAAAACATGACTTTAAGAAGTTTGAAAACACTCAAAGCTTTGTTGCAAGTCATACATGACTGTTTGACATTAAAAACAATATTATATTCTTTTGAAGGATTATGCAAAAATGTGGATGCTTTCACGAATTCCTGAAAAGCTGACATTTTGGAGGTTTCCATCTTTTACCCCGACAGCAACAATATGCCCAGTGAACCTCTATGACCAGACATTAACTAATGGGGCCAGGCCTTAAAGGCAACTTCTGCTCTCTATTGTTTGGGAGCACTATAGCAAAAAATAACTAAACTGTCTTCATTGAAACTTCATGTCGTGTCTTCACCAGAGAGAGAAAAAGAAAGTGAGGCCGCCCTCGGCTGCCTGAGGGATCCTAGGAAGACCCAGCGATAAGGGATGTCCGCCATTCAGGGTTAATAGAGCAGAAAAAACATCGAATGGAAGAAGAAAGATTCATTGGTGTGAAGAGGTGAGACTAAGGTTCAGTTCTCCGAGACACACACACACATATATAAATACAAGCTACGGCAAGAGACAGTAACAGGACAGGGCTTATGTGTGCATGAATATGCACCAACACACACCTCTTCTCCATCATTGAGAACGATGGTGCCGGCGCGTTCGACCACAGCGAAAACCATGACAGCGCAGAGTTCCCTCCTCACTGACATGGTCATGTTGGCAAATGCTGGCAGTTGATGCATGAACTCCAGTAATTGCTCTGCGAGGGGGACAAAGGAGAGAGACAGTGGAGGAGTTTAAGAAAAACAGCAAACGGAGTCTTGACACTACAGAGGGCAGGCAGCGCTCTTGGCAAGCCTGCATTGGCCTCGATCCGGCCAAGGAGGCATGAGCATCGAAATGGATCATCGACACAATGAATATACAGCCTACAGAGGAATCATTATGTGGAGAAGGCAAAGCCAAATATCAATTCTATTGATATAAACTTTAAGGCGAGCCAAGAATAATCGCTGACAATTCACTCGGTGACCTCTGTGTGAGTTAAAGGAGATACTGGAGACGTTAAACCACAGCTGAAATCAGACTCAGTTTAAAGTTTAAAGCTATTATTCATGTACATGGCCAAAAAACTACTTTCCTCACATATCTCTGGAGGTATCGAACTATGCTAATAGCTGTATAGAATTACCATATTTCTTTTCAAAGCACTAGAAAACCAAGCATCTGCCTTTTCAGAAATTAATCCCCCAAAATTCTACAGTTTTTTTTTTTATTTCTTCAGCAAAAAGTGTGTGTAGGTTATACAGAGTAATGTTTTCTAATAATGTTTCTGATCTACCATTTTTAACATTTGAATATATTTGTCTCAATGTGTGGAGCAGCAGATACACATTTTTGTTTCTGTGTGACTAGTTAACGTTAACATGAATGTTCTGGCTAATTTTGAAGCAGAACTTAAAGCTGAAAGGTTACAAAACAGACATGTAATGAAAAACTGATCAAATAACAGCAATGAATAACATAAGTGATCTGAAAAACAAAGGTGCAATAGATAGAAAGTGCATAAAACAGATGAACAAACAGCAATTCCGTTGACAGTCATTCTATATTCTAATATTCCAATCAAATCAATCATTTTGACACACAATCCCTTGTTCAGGGTTGCAAAAATCTCAGTGTGCAGTAAAACGCGGATGTATCAAATCAAAACAGCTGTCTGCTATTATCTGCAAATAGTAAAACGATCGAGTTTTATAATCTGGGTGAACAAATGCTTCAGTTTGGCTCCATCTGACTGGGTGTGTCACTGAGGGGAAATGCTGTCTGTAATACAAGATCCAGGACATTCTGCAGCACCACACACTTATTGTGAAAGAGGGAAGATACCCCCTCTCTCCACCATCTACCATCCATCCCTCTACTTGGCCAGCAGCAATCTGGTGTACTGGCTGACCTGGGCTTGGCATGGCAACAGCGTTGTGTGTGGAGCTGCGGAAGCACTGAAAGTTTAATGTGCTGGGAGAGGTGAGGCGAGAGGATGTGCCGGAGTGACCTAGAAAAGCCTGCCGGCAGAGGGAGGGGTGTGCAGCAGGGAGATCAGCGAAAGGGGGGGAGGGGGTTGGCACTTGTTCTTACTCTCTCTACATCCAATGCATCATCCTCCCCAAGTCCACATCTGTAGCTAAGCTTTAAGTGTGCATACTTATTCTTTATTTTTTTTACAACATGCCTATCGCTGTCATTGGAGTTGAGTCATAGCTTTAAGGGATATGATACTGCAAGCTTGATGTGGCTTCGAGAATTACTCGAAAGCCGACATCGTAAATGAGAGCTGTGCAGACTTCAGACAAATGTAAATTTACTGTGACCGATTTAAATAAGAAAGGAGGGAGTGGCTTTTATAGAGCAGGAAATTAATCTAAAATTGGGACAAGAAGTGCTGTCCCAGCCGGGAACAATGCTGCTTGTGTTCTTTACTGATATCTTTCACAGCATTCTCCAAAGATATCATGCAAATACAGCACTCTGAGGCATGCACGAGAATAGGCAGGACCTGTTTAAAATAACCGCTGCAAAGCCACGTTTTTGTTTACAACCGTGGCGTTCATAAGCTGCACTGAGACACAGACACTGCAGCGTATTCAGTTTGTGTTTTAACTTGCAACATCAACAATAAAAGGAAATCAAATCCTCAAGCGGGTGCTCACCTATGTCATCGTCGGTCCTGTCCATCGGGTCCTTCTCCAGGCAGTCCCGCACGATGTCCCGGCTCATGAGGGGGTCCGACGCTCGCTCGATGTCCTCCTCATCGTCGTCCTCCTCGGAGTCGACGGCTGTCTCCGGCAGGCCACTCAGGTCCATGTCACCTGGTTCGTTCTCTGTGGCCTAAAAGGAGCAAACAGACGAGAGATGAGTCAGTGATTAGTGATGGACACAAGCAGGGATTTGGCGTCTCCATTCAGCAGCAGCAGGTGGAAAACTACAGCTGTCCAATGACCATAAGGTCAGATCTCTGCAGTGACCAGCGTGTCCATCTACAGCCCTGCTCCTTGTCCAAGTGTCTATCAGCGAGACACTGAACCCCCTAGCTGCATGCTCACAGCAAACAAAGCTTTAGATTCTCAGCAAAATGCTTCAAAAGTAAAGCCCCACTCATGATCAGCTGTCAAAGTGCAGGCAGAGTGAACACATTTGTAAACAGCCAGCGTAAAATTTTCAGAAACAGAGCCAGAGGTTGCACAGCACATACACACGTCCTGCTGAAGTCATTTTACAGTACAAACATCAGCTGCAACACGCCACATTTCCAACCAAAAGCAATTAAAAAAAAAAAAAGAGTCTGTAAAACTGTGGTGCAGATTTGACCCATTTCGTGAAACGGATAAGAGGTATTCAGTACAGTATGAGAAAGACAGGCGTCAACACTGCATACCAAACAGTCTGCTATGCATAGTAACAAGCTAATTAACTCCCAACTTTCCTCTCCTCTCCCTCTCAGCAAACTCCACAGCCTGCCTCGCAGCCAGATCCTGTTCTTTGAAAGCACAAGATGAAATATGTGTGGAGCCGGGAAAATGAACTAAGATGAGAAGCGAACGTAATGCAATTACTTGTGCATGAGCGATACTAACGGAGTTCTTCTGCCATCATCAAAGAAAATATTTCTATAAATGACAGCGGGACCATACTGCCTGATTCCTGCTCAGACAACATGAAAACCTCTCACAGAGAAAATCAAAGCATTTGGAGAAAAGGGCTTCAAAACATCGGCTCTGCTACCTCCCAACGACGCACCCTCTTACCCCAACGTGGTGCCCAACCTCAAGCTTCTTAATAAAAAGAGAAGAAAAGGTTGCCTTTGCAAACTGTCCACAAAATCCCAGAGCCAGACGCATCTTCACCTCCCTGACTGTCAGAATGCTTTTAATTTTTTAATGCTCTGAGTCCCCGTACCCAGTCTCTCACAGAAACCCTATGTCATTTCTGCTCAAACGCCATGTGCAAAAGGCTCATTAATGATTCAGCGTCTGACTGGCCATTTGGGCGTCACTGGTGCACACCCAGGCGGGCGGGGCCAGGGCGGGGTTCGCAAAAAGATGATGTGGGGTGTCCGCTTGAGGCCTTCGGATGGAGTCACAGATTAGGAGGAGGATGCAAGCAATATTATATACTATATCTCAAACTATCACGAATAAACACAAACTAAAACATACGTAGTACAAACACTGTCTTTCCAGAGCTGAAAATGGAAGGATTTCTTCCTGAGCACTCTTTGTTTTAAAACCAAACAGCTGCATATTCATTGCCCCTTTTTCACAGATAGACTAAGAGCACCGGTCCATGATACTTCACACAATAATTTACAAGGCATAAAACCACAAAAGAGACCCGAGGATGCACACCTCTCATATACACCGCAGTGCCTTCATTTGCTTTTTACAACAGGGTGCAAAACACTTAACACGGCACATGGAGATAGGCTGTTAAAATCCAACCACTTACACACGTTATTTAAAATGCAGATTGTCTGAGCACCTTTGTATTCATGCACAGGCTTGTTTTCGTGTCGTGCGTGTGTCAAAAATCCATAAATGTTCGGTACGCATTAAGAGTCAGTGGGCAAGTCAGGTGCTGTTAATATTTCATCAGGGCTATTCTTGGATCAATGCTTTCAAAGTCCTTCTGGAGGACCAATTTCATGATTTATTCAGACACAAACAGCGCGCCATCTTGGCTGTGACGTGAGAATGATATGGGACTCTTCACGAGGTGCTTCCGTCGTACAGGCCAGAGGAGGCTGTGGAGATTAGAGCAGCATAGAGTAGCCTCGTGGTTAGATTATTCATTGCTGCCATCAATAATCCGATCCCCAGCCTGCTCTGTAACGGCATCAATAAAGGGTTGAGACAATGTGATGTAGAATAAAATTAAAATTTAATGCCACCATATGTCTTTGTACCATCAACTTATTGTGGTCTCGAGCGTTAAGAACCAAACCTCCTCTGATACGCGTGTTCTAAAACACCCCCAGTGAGGACAGCATGTATCTATAACTCCACGCTGTTATTGTGGAACCTGCAGGGTACAACTTTAGCTAAGAATAAAAGAGCACTGTCGCATAAAACAAACAGTTTAAGGAGTCATGCCGGGTACCCTAGGATAGCAAGAGATTAATTTGAATTATTTCCTCTATTTTAAACGCCATTTTAGCTACGGGTGCGCAGTATGAGCTGTGTAACGGTTCGATAAGGGCGCTTGTGATCTCGAGCAGGTAACTCATACACAAAAGTAAAATACCTCCTGTGTCCTTTATTTAATGACCGCCATTTATTCCTCGTTGAATAAGGAGGTGGAGGGTTCAGGCAATGATTAGAAAGCAAGACAAATGTACTTCTGCAACATGAAATACATAAAAATATTCTTTCTGGATGAGAGAGGACTCTATAGTCATTCAAAAAAAACAAAGAAAAGATTTTATTGGCAGAAGGTCGCACGTACAAAAACTATTGTTTCCCTGAGCCAAAAGTGACAAAGTCGCATTGCTCAAATAACAATCCAAACCCCAAACATAATCACTTTATTATCATTAAAGACACACAAAGGCAGCAAATCCTCAAATCTGAGGCACTGAAGCCACCTCCATTGGTAAACAGACAAAGCACATGCACGCATACAAGTAGTTCATCTGGGAGTTGAGCAGAGAAGTTTGATCATATGTGAAATAAGATAAAAACACAGACACTGACACAGAGGAGAAGTTAAGGCGGGTACATATAGCGTTTAGAGACAGGAGAAGCATCAGAACAGAGGTCCAGCCAGAGAGGCTGGAGAAGAGGAAAAAAACAGGACAGTGTTTGTGATTCAGGGAGAGGGAAATCAAGAGGCTGCCGCAGAGCTGCTAGCAGATGGCGCTAAGACCAGGATCACAGACTGGGGACAGTAGAGCCTGTTCAACCTGCCCCAGCCAGCCACAGCAAAGCCAAAACATATACACACACTTCTCTGCAATGACACACACACACTCGTACATTCCTCACACGCAATATAAAGCTGTACTCCCACAAACCGAGCTAATGCACCGGCCGGCATACACAAATGCTGGTCGGGGGGGAAAATAGGCCCGAACATAACGAAATAATTGCGCCCGACGCCCCCGAGCGCAGTCACAAGCACGCCGACAAACAAACACATAAACAGGCACACAGCAGGTGACAGTATTAGGAGTCACTGGGGTGGGTGCGCTATGTTAAGAGGATTAGTCGCAGGGTTCGGGGCACGTTCAGTCACGAGATTTTGCGTATGTGTGTTCTTTTGAGTTGAATAGTTATTCAAGGGGTCCCTCGAACACAGATCTCCTGGTTAAATAAAGGTAAATTAAACACATAAAATAATGCTGCTTCTGTATATTTAGTTTTTTTATGCTCAGTGTTATTTATTTATGAGCTTATAACTCTCTACCCCCACAAAACTCATTCTCCTGATGCTTTAAGTCATATTATAAGCATGAAATTGCTCATGAAGCTCCTTCTCACATGTACGTCACAGCTCCCTGGGAGTTCTGTGTTTCTGCTCGGAGGTGATGAGAGCCAGACCTGGAGTCAGGATGTGGGCGGGACCACCTGCTCACAGCCACCAGCCTGTCTGCTCGCCTCCCGCTGAGCGTTGACAGCCTCCTATTAGTGTCTTAAAGCCTTTTTGGCAGCCAAGTCTTTAAATTCCTCTCAATAATGTTGTCCCTCTTAATGACACTAACGGCAGTCCACCACAAGGAGGAGTTTTTACACTTTGCTGCACATTAGCTCAACATAGTCACACAGACTTGACCTCAGATTGCATCAGAAGTATGACCTAAAAGTTGAGTTTATGCTAAACACATAGTAACCTAACATAAACATATTCCATTCTTGAATAACAGTACCCCAAATAAAGGCATGAATACATTTATATTGACACTTTGTCGTCTGACTTTTTAGTACCTTAAAAATAGAATTTGGTGCAACAAGTTTTTATTTATTATTTGAGCTACACAAAACTTTTCTGCAAAAATGTGACATTCTAGGAAAAAGAACACAGAGTCCTCTCTTGCCGAGACGAGAACATTCATAACACTGTCTTGTTTTGTGAGGTAAATATGAAGCTAGTGCCGGAAGACTGTTAGCATAGCGTAGCCTGAAGAAAAGGGAAACAGGTAACCTTCTAAACCCTAAAACCTGCTGGCAGCTTGAAAGACATGCTTGGGGTTTTTTAATCACTAAAATTAAACCATTTATCAGAGCCAGAATCTGTAAAAACAGAAAAAAATCTTCAGAAGTTCAAGCATGTCTAACCATGCTTGAACTTATCTGTGACGTTCAGCTTTGTAAATAGTAATATTTCATCAGCATTACTTCATTCTAAGTGTGGCATTTTAATGAGGTTATCTGATTTTGAACAACCTCAAAATGGTGTGTTCCTTGCCACTAGTGACTCAGGTATGACAGTCATATGAAGAAAAGTCACAGACCTTTCAGCTGAACTGCAGTATGGAGACATGTAGGAATGTCATTTTTTCCAGTGTTGGTGACATCTGTGGGCACGTGGATACATTTGTATATGTCTACGCCACATTATTCCAATTTCTTTAGTAAAAAATAATCAGTCAATAATACTGTAATACTGCACAAAAGCCACTGTGTCTATTTTATAGCCATAGTTGTGCTGTTTTCATAAAAAGTGCAGGACTACATATTGCAGTGAAAATGTGACAGAAACTGCTCGGGGTGTACAGGATTGAATTAGTTCTGGACAAACGGGGGAAAATTCTGCACCTCTAAAGATCACAAATTAACGTGATATCTTGCTTGTGTATTCTTGAAAAACTGGAAAAACCCACAGGTTATGGCCACAGTCTTTGTGATAATTGGCTGTAGCTTCATATTTACAGTCCAGCTATCAGTGATCGTCCCATCTAACTCTTGGCAAGTATTTCCCAAAACATAAGAGCATTCCAAGTATTTTCATTCTTCAAAAAGGTGAAAATAAAAAAAAGAGGCCCTAGCTAGACAGAGGAGGGGTTTCAGGATTTACTCTTCTTTACTACGACTACAGCGACTAGTTACCAAACTATCACACCTACTTAACGATCCGGGGGAGTCCGAGCTGGGGATCCAGCACCAACATGGGGAGGCCTTACCTGGTAAATGTCTGACAGGCTGCTGCTTCCAGAGTCGCTGGTGATACTACATCCTGAGTGGCTGGAGGAGACGTGGGTCACCTGTGGGTGTAAGCCGTCGGCCAGGTGAAGTCTGCTGAAGTCTGCGGGGAGCTGCACATACACACACACAACATACACACAGATGGTCAGTATCAGCCAGCCCAGCAGACACTATTGGTCACTCACACTGACACTCATGCTGACTGCCAGGCGTTTGGATACACACTTGGCCGCATGTTGTCCTTCAGTCTGTCTGGAAATTAAAGACTAAGCGTCTAAAAATAAAACTCTCTTCCTGTGTAGATTGTATTGCATTTCCTTATTTCCCCAGTATTTGTCCCCACTTTATCATTTGATAGTGAACAGAGGCAAACTGGCTGCTCCAACACAATAATGTTGTTTTTTGCAGCGATGAACCTTCTACGAAAAATCGCTCCCCCTTGATTTTAACTGGAAAGCAGCCTAAAACACTCTTTCTTATTCACCACTACTGAATAAAAGGGCTTTATCTCTGTCTTCATTCCACAGTCGCAATTACACAATGTTAACGGAGCAAAAAATAATAATTAGTCACACTGCAGAAGCTCGACTTTACACATGATTTATTATTAAAGGAAGGGAATGGCAGAAAAAATGGAGATGTGAATTAAATCATGTGGCTTTCAAAGAATCTGTCAAAAACATTCAGTTGAACAATTATGGGGAGAGTACGCTCAACCTGATCATGTAAAATCTGACAAAATCAAACATCTACTGGTAGTTTTAACCTGTAAGCGCCACGGTTGTACTGCTTTGTGAAAATGTTTTCTTTTTTTTTTTTTTCAGCACCACTAAACTGCAAAGGAATTCCTTTCACCAACTGAGCAAACAAACACGGAGCACTGCATACATCAAGGAAACACCCTAATTAAGGTACGCAACTTGAGTAACCTAAATGAACACGAGGCAGTAATGGGGGGGAAATCCCTCTGAGTAATTCATACATATGATATGAAGTACCGGAAAGGCAAACTGTAATTAGCAATATTGTAAATGAGCCAACCTACTTCTCTATGGAGATGACCCTAAAATGTAAAATACTTCAGAAACCCCCTTGCTGAAGTATTAGGAGGCAGATGAATAAAATAAAAAAGAAATGTTGCAGTTGGAACAGGAGCAGCTCTTATTTGAAAACTGCTGTATTGTTTCTATATGTGAAATATTACCGTGGAAACAATAAACTAACTGGAAGCAGCTTCTTGCATGTCCTCTTTTATTCCTGTTTAATACCATTATAAATTAATGCATCCTTAATGTAAGGCTTATCTTTATTTTAACTGATATTTCATAGATTTTTCTACAATATACATAGTGTTCAAATTAAACTCATCATATTTGATTAAAGCGCCAGAGGGGTGAATAATCAAACGGCATAAACTGGTTCATGGTGTCGATGGACGTGAATATTTTATGGCTAAATGTTTTATTTACCAATATATATTTGATACTCAGCAGGGAGACCGTCGCTCTGGGCTACTTTCAACTCCACTTCTGGCTGTGGCAGATCATCAATATTACATTTTTAAACCTAAAAGTCAAACGGGGCTGATTTAACTAGTCTGGCTCAGTTATCGTACGGCAGGAAATCAGAGCCAAACCTAACATCTTGAGATTGGGTTTCAAGGTTTCCTACAGGCCGTAATTTGAAATCTCCATAGTAAACAAGATTTAGATTTTTATTTATTTGGGTTATTTTATGCGTTTCCCTCTAGATGGGGGGAAAACTTTTGACCCAGCTTTGGATAAGTGCTGGTGAAGAAGGGTGAGACGATGGAGTTGAGAGATAAAATAAACTTCAATAGATGGTGATGTGGGGGTGACAGACAGATTGTGCAGCTACTATCCAGGCTTTTAGCGCTTCACAGCTGAGCTATAAAAGGTAAAATGGTCTCTGAAGTATAGTAGTCTGCGCGTTAACGTCATCCACCTAAAATGCACTTCAGGCTGTAAATAACATCACTGCCTCGGAATAGTTTTTGGAAATCAGTCTCAATGGCGGCAACACTGTGAAGTCTCACTTGGATGACAAATGGAATAGATTGGACTTAAAATACAACTTGGGAGGTTCATTTGCAAGTAAATGGGTTTGAGCCGTCATCAAGTCTCGAACGTACGCTGAGAAAACGTCCAGCTTTTGAGACGCTCATCTGCATTACGGCTTAATTAAAGAGCGTTGTAGATTAGAGGAAAAGTGTTTTGCTGCCAGAGTTATCACTGTGGAATATTGGAGATTACTTTTGAGTAAAAAAAAAAAAAAAGACTTCTTAACATTCATGAGAGGGAGGACACAATGAAATTGAGGAGCTTGGAGGTCTTGTGGCACTGAATGATTTTGGAGGTGTGGCGAGTTATTTGGAGACCTTTTTCTAAGCTCTTTGTGAGGGAAAAAAATTTGAATATGAGATATATCAATTCACAAAGCTCCTTTTCTGTGTCAGTGACAAGACACTGAGAGGCAGACAGCGGAGCTCCTGTGGCACCGAGGTGTGATGTGATTACACTGTGTCAAAGATTGCCATCACGTTTAATTATCTGGCTGGCTGCACTAACCAAAATGGTCGACCGGAGGGCCCAGTCAGTCACTAACTCCCCCCAGGCTGCTATTTCCCATCCCCTCGTCTGGTTGACTTCACTCCGAACGCCTCCAGCTGACTTTCTACGTTATCATTACTGCCTGGACAATGATGTGCGATGAATCTCTTTTGTCTGTTTGCAACTGCAGTGATAAAGCCTCATCACGTTTCCTTCTGGTGACTTTTTTTTACGGTGCAGCATTTCAGTCTTTGTGGTGCAAAACTTCAGAAAGTGAAGCTATCTTGGAGCTGACACTGTGACTAATTATATTTATGATTAGACATTTGTTGTCGGAGTTCTGTGGCTTTGAGGCACAACACCAACTTTATTGTTATCCCTGAGGAAATTTGGTTTGTACCCAGGGATTACACGCAGTTGGCAAAAAAAACTACTGGAAGCTGAGGACGCTTGGTATCAAAAATACACCAGCGAGCTTCACTGTTGCTCTGACATGTTCCTTCAATATTATAAATGGAGGTGACAAATATGCTTTTTTCAGGGCTGACACTGATATCAAATATTAGTAATCCAGGAGACTGATGGCAGATATTTGGAACCAATACTCATATGAGATTGAAATGAAAAATTTAACAAACTATCACTCAGATTTAAAATTTATGGTATACCTATGTTTAATTAAAGAGTATTTTAATTTCAACATTTGCCCCTCTGTGCTGACAGACTATTACTGGCGACTTGCAACCAATCAAGTCCACAGACAGGTGACTACATAGAGAGGAAGCAGCAGAGTCAAATGAGAACATTTTAAACTGATTTATTTTATCGGAAACCAGTTAATAAAGTAACAATACTGACAATCGAGAAAAATGTTAAATATTAATCCTGAAAATTATATTCTAAGATTTTAGTCAAACTAGGACGTTTTTAGTAAAATTGAACAGGCTGAGTGACAATATCAGGGCAGGAAATTCAGAAAACACTGCGATGCATTCTGGGTTCTTGATTTTTTTGCTGCCAATAACAGAAATACAGAAGGCCACCAGCTTTATCCTTTAAAATATAGAAGAATATACTTTACATATGCCATAGAGGAAACACAGCATACTTTGAAATCAAGTAAACGGCTGAATTGCTGCAATATTTTAAACATTTTGGTTCAATAGATGGGAGGGCACAGGGGTTAAATTAATTGAATATTCTCATTATTGAGAGTACAAGACGGGTCATGTGGAGTTTGTCGATATGGCCTTCCAGCCAGGCACTTGAGTGGTCTGCATGTCAATAATAATATCCCCACTGGTTTCCACAACCAGCCAGAACAGTCCTACTAGCCTGCAAACAAAACCCCCTCCATACACAAGCCCCTCCCCCTGGAAAGAGCATGAGATAAAGGGAGGGCAGGAAAGAGGGATAAAGGGTGGAGGATAATAAACACTTAATCCTTTCTCTCCACTCATTTAGGTCATCCGTCTGTCGGTCAACAAGCCAGGGTCCATTCAGTCTATAAGCATGCGGTCCATTGACCTCTTCGGCCCAATGGCATGCAAGAGACTGGGCCGAGATGGATGCCAGCACGACGACGACCACACGCACTCATTAAGCTTTTCCAATCAGCGACATGACAACACAGCAGTACATGCTGTTAACCCCAATCATCGATCCGCAGAGTCGATAGTAGTTAGAACGCTCGAGTTAAAGTCTGTTGGTGATATACTAAACATCAGCCATAGCGTGAGATTGTGATTGTCCCCCTACCTTATATAGGTCTCTCTGTACTCCTGTGCTCCAAATTTAGTGTTCTCCCGCAAACAAATGAAGTGAGCTCTGCAGAACAGCGAGCTGAAAATACATACAATCAGCTGTCACAGGAGGATTAAGCATCGCTCTAATGCTCGAGCCACAACACTCAGTTCTGCCTACATGTGAGCAGATGTGGCACTCCTTAAATTACACTGCAGACCTAATGACCTAGATTGCTGGGTGGAAGCCCTGAGTGGAAGCGCTGGCTGGCTCTCAATCTCTTCGCCGCCTTTATGTGCTGGGGGTGAATCGGTGCAACTACACGAGATGCCCCTTCCTGAGGGTGAAGACGTTCCCTCGGTGGACAATGCTATTCACAGCGGCGTGCAAAGCATCAAAGAGTCTCATAAAGGACTCTGTGCTTCCACTGAAAAGAGTCAAATTTCAATTGTTGGTTTAATAGGTTTAAATCATTGAGCAAAAAAAAAAAAAAAAAAACAAGCCAAATGATTTTTCTTTTTGATTTCGAGCAGCTTGAAGTGCCTGAAGCTGCACTGCTCCTTTAAACATTTCACGGGTGGTTTTAACTTTGTCTACTCGCTATCAAATGGAGAACCGCCAACGTTGGAAGGCTGAGAGGCAGCAGGCACATCCCAGAGTTTCCCCTGATCATGGTGGCAGCTTCTCGCTTTCCTGAGCCTCACGGATCAAGAGATTAAAATCCTTTTGGCTGGGTGTCCGATTAAATGGGTTTGATATGCTCTCTGGGCTTTCCCTTCCCCAGATACAGGTCCAAC